GTATAAATGAAAATGGTTATGAATGTTACAAGCACTGTCACTCTTGGTGGATTTGGATGGATGAATATGTGCTGGTTAAACAAATGTTGAAAAGTCCTGAGTTAAATATTTATTGGATAATCTGTCCTTGCTGTTATTACCTCCGCTGATTTGAAATCTAAATGTGCTGCTCCCATTCCAGCTGACATTATTGGAACCAAACAGAGAAGACGATGGATTGAACCTACTTAGCAAAATGACATAGACAAAGTGATACCCAGAAATGTGTAGTTTTAAATAGCTTTGTCTGAAAAAAATGAAAGAATTATTTTTTTTCTTTCAAAGCTAATATCTGGTGTCCAAGCTCATTAAACTATCATTTTTTAATCCAAAACTGAGATCACCAGTCACATCAATTTTGTTCACATTTAAAACTGTTAATGTTGGGAAAAAGCCACATAAAACTCCCCCTTCAGAAATGTCTGGAGATTTTTAAAAAATTTTCAGTCTGAGTATATATGGAGAAGTGCCTGGGCTAATAACTGTAGGAGTGTAAGAAATAGATAGCATTTAATTAAGTGTTTTCTGGGTGGTTGGGGAAAACATTCTGGATTTATTCAGTATTTCCACAGTGGCCATCTTTGCAGCCCACAGCAAATGCTCTCTAGAGAAGAAAGCCCCTAATCTCAGAACATATTAAATGCTAAACACCGTGCTGAGGAAAGATGGAGGCTCAGAATGTCAATTCCAAAATCATAAAATTCTGGAGTCCTCATGGTAATGTTAATTTGCTCTTTCATTAGCATTTTAACATTAGTGAAAGTTGCTGCTAACAGACTGGGATGAGGAAGCTCCCTCTGAGTGGTATTGGATAAGCTCATCTTTAAAAAAAAAAAAAAACAACTTATTTATTTATTTTATTTGGAGGCTAATTTACATTACAATATTGTGGTGGTTTTTGCCATACATTGACGTGAATGAGCCACGGGTGTACGTTTCCCCCATCCTGAACCCCCCTTCCACCTCCCTCCCCCGCCATCCCTCTGGGCTGTCCCAGTGCACTGGCTTTGAGTGCCTTGTTTCATGCACCTAACTTGGACTGGCCATCTATTTCACATATGGTAATATGCATGTTTCAATGCTATTCTCTCAAATCATCTGACCTTCACCTTCTCCCACAGAGTCCAAAAATCTGTTCTTTATATCTGTGTCTCTTTTGCTGTCTTGAATACAGGGTCATCATTACCATCTTTCTAAATTCCATATATATGCGTTAATATACTGTACAGGTGTTTTTCTTTCTGACTTACTTCACTCTGTATAACAGGCTCCAGTTTCATCCACCTTACTAGAACTGATTCAAATGCATTCTTTTTAATTGCTGAGTATTGTTCCATTATGTATATGTACCACAACTTTCTGGGTAAGCTCACCTTAATTAAACTACCGGCTTCCTCCATTACCTGGCTTGACTCAGAAAAGACTTTATTGGTGTGACAGAACAAGAAGTTGAACTGGGTGGACATCTATAGAAGCATCCAGAAGACAGAAATGCTCCTGGAAAGGCTCTGAGCTCACAAGGGCCATGACTGCAGTCATGTATCATGAAGCAAGTCAATGGCAGCGGAATTTATGCCTGCACCACCCACAGGGAAGTAAGTGTCCTTGGCACTCGGTGGGGCTTGGAATCCCGCAGCCCAGAGTCTGCTTTAGTGGATTAATTTGCAAAGTTTTGTTCAATGAGCTTTAATCCTTAACTCACTCCTAAACTATGGCTAATGCCATTGGTTTCAGATCTATTCCTCTGTCCTGCTTCCAGCTGACCATTAATACAAAACTGCTGAAAATGGCACTCAAGTCAATGGCTAAACCTAAAATAAACCTTCCAGGGACTTCCCTGGTGGTCCAGTGGCTAAGACTCTGTGCTTCCAATGAAGGAAGCCCAGGTTTGATCCCTGGACAGGGAACTAGATCCCACATACCTCAACTAAGAGTTCATATGCTGCAACTAAGACCCAGTGTAACCAAATAAATAAATAAATATTAAAAAAAAAAAAAAAAGAATCTGCCTTCCAATGCAGGCGATGCAGGTTCAATCCCAGGTCGGGGAACTAAGATCCCACCTGCTTCACAGCAACTAAGCCTGTGTGCCACAACTAGAGAAAGCTATGAGTCACAGCAGAGACACAGCAGAGCCAAGACAAAGAAATAAAATAATAGAATAAAAGAAACCTTTGAGATAATTTGATGGAAGTATCTCAAAATTGACCTGGTCAGGTTAAATGCCTAAGTCATCAGGACTGGGGCTTTGTTGGTTCCTCAGGCCTTGCTGGTTAACTGTATGATTCTGGATCCATCATTGAAATCTCTAACTTAGATTTCATGTGAAATAGAGACAGTGATACCTATTCCATATGTGTGTGTGTCTGTGAAATTCAGTGAAATAACGAATTCTAAATACTTAATCAGGTATCTGGCCTAAAACATTATGATTTACTCACTTAGACTTCCTCCCATTCCCACTCCATGCCCCGTTCTGCCTGGCTAGATATACATACTGTTCTAAAAGGATTTTAAAGGGAATGCTTTATCCATTGTTTTTGCTTCTTTCTCTTCTTATCTTCAGATTTTTTGTTTACCTGCCAACCTAGGGTTTCTTGTTTGGGAAGAAGAAGAACAACAACAAAATGTTGTTAAAATTATGTTTGACTGGCTAACATTCCTTACACCTAAAGACATCTGAACTGCTACTTCTGCATTCTTTGAACCCATAAAGAAATCTATTGGGATCAAGTCCAAGCAATTACCAGTGGTGGGTTGGTGGTTTGCTTGTTTTTTAACTTTTTATTTTATATTGGAGTGCAGCTGATGAACAATGCTGTGTTACTGGACTTCCCTGGTGGTCCAGTGGTTAAGAATCTGCCTGCCAATGCAGAGGACATGGGTTCGATCCCTGGTCTGGGAAGATCCCACATACCACTGGGCAACTAAGCCTGTGCACCGCAACTGCTGAGCCCTTGCTCTAGAGTCCATGAGCCTCAACTATTGAGGCTTGTGAGCTGAAGCCAATACCATGGGAAGCCCACTCACCACAACAAACGGTAACCCCCACTCACCGCAACCAGAGAAAGCCTGCACACAGGAATGAAGACCCAGCACAGCCAAAAATAAATAAAATTAAATTTTAAAAAAAGGCAATGTTGTATTTCAGATGTATAGCAGAGTGATTCAGTTATACATATACATGTATTTATTCTTTTTCAAATTCTTTTCCCATTTTTTAAAACTTTTTATTTTGTATTGGCATATACCTGATCAATGTTGTGATAGATGAGCAATGTTGTAATAGTTTCAGATGGACAGCAAAGGGACTCAGCCATACATATACATCCATCCATTTCCCCCCAAACTCCCCACCCATCCAGGCTTCCACAAAACACTGAGCAGAGTTCCCTGCGCTATACAGCAGATCCTTGCTGGCTACCCATTTTTTGTATATGTCCATCCCCAACTCTCAGTCTGTCCCTCCCTCTTCCCCCAATCCCTTTCCTCCATCCCATCAGAAGCATAAGTTTGTTCTCTAAGTCTGTGAGTCTGTTTCTGTTTCGTAAATAAGTTCACTTGTATTTTTTTTTGTTTTTAGATTTTTTTTTTGTTTTTAGATTTCACATATAAGCATTATCACATATTTCTCCTTCTCTGACTTACTTCACTCAGTATGACAATATTTAGGTCCATCCACATTGCTGCAAATGGACTTATTCCATTCTTTTTGTTTTCGTTTTCTAAAAATATTTATTTGGATGTGTAAGGTCTTGGTGGTGGCATGTAAGAGTGTCGTTGCATCATGCGGGATCTTTCTTTGAGGCGCCTGGACTCTCCAGTTATGGCTCTCGGGCTCCGAGGCACGTGGGCTTTAGTAGCTGCGGTGCACAGGCCTAGCTGCTCCACAGCATGTGGGATCTTAGTTTCCTGACCAGGGGACCAGGGATCAAATCAGTATCCCTTGCATTATGAGGTGAATTCTTAACCATTGGACACCCCAGGAAAATCCCTATTCCATTTGCTTTTTTTCCCCTACACTGGGTCTTCATTGCTACATTCAGGGTTTCTCTAGTTGTGGGGACTGGGGACTACTCTCTAGTTGCATGGGCTTCTCATTGCAGTAGCTTCTCTTGTTGAAGAGCTTGCAGACTTCAGAGTTGTGGTGTGCAGTCTATTTCATTCTTTCCAATAGCGGAGTGTCAGTGGAGGTCTGAGTATATTCCTTAGAGAACTAATCATGGGCAATCCATAAATTAATAAAGTGATTCTCTATCATGGCCACACATCATGATCCACTGAAAGCTTCTAAAAATACTGATGCCTGTATGAATCAAGAACCTAATTTTTTCACAACGTGTGACTTGGAAATTCCACCTCTAAGAATCCATCTATTTTCAGAGAGTAGAGATGTAGACAAAAATACATGCCCAAATCATCTCATGTGTGTTTTTTTTTAAAGAATCTTCCAAGTTCAGTTAAAGGATGGGCAGTAGGGGTGGAGATTGATTAAATTAAATATGATACAGTCACAAACTATTGCAGCTCCATTAAGGATTATACTTATGTTACCATTTGGAAGTCAGGATACCATTACCCTTGAGGTAGGGCTAGAACCGGGAGGAGGCATAAAGGAGGAATAAAGAGGGCTTACGGAGGGCTGGTAATATTTCATTTCTTCACATGGATACTGGTTATACAAGGGTGTTCACTTTGTAAAAATTCATCAAGTTTTATTTTTATATATATATATATATATATATACATATATATATATATACACTTTTTAAAAATTGTGGGACAATACACATAACATAAAATTTACTGTCTTAATGATATTTAACTATATACTTCATTAGTATAAGTACTTTCACATTGCTGTGCAACCAATTTCCAGAACTCTTTTCATCTTAAAAAACTGAAATTCTATACCTATTAAACAATAACTCCTCCTCTACCCCGCCCCTCAGTCCCTGGCAACCACTGTTCTACTTTCTATATGTACAAATTTGACTACTCTAGGTACCTAAGTGGAATTGTTAACACTTGTCTTTGTATTTTTGTGACGTGGTCCGTATTTCAACTCTTGCCAGGATGAGTGCACAAGACTGGTCTTTCTACCCCTGGAACAAGTAGGTAGATGCCTTCATGATAAGAATGAAGGAATAGCCAGGAGGGCCTCCCCAACACATACATATAAAACATTGCTCCCCGTAGCTTCTCAAAAGTCTTCTCTTCCTTTTGCATTTGTATTTAACCCATATGAGTGCTTGCCAAAAAGTGAAAACCTCTTTTAAAAACCAATTGACCCTGGAAGGTTATATGTAGATTATCAGCCATTCAAACCATATTGTGAATCAGTTCAAACAGATGCTTTTCAATCATACAGCTGTGATGTCAGTACATGCCAGCAAGGTTTTCAGTTTCAGTCCTGGTGACATTTTGGGCTGGATAATTCTCTGATGCGGCAAGCTGTCCTGTGCCTTGTTGGGTTCAGCAACACCTCCGGCCTCTACTCACAGGAGACGCTGGTTGCACTCCAGTCCCCGGTTAGAATCACTACGAATGTCTCCAGATATTGACAAATGTCCCATGGGTGCAAAATCCCTTCTAGTTGAGAATCACTGTACTGAAGGAATGGGGTTTTGATGAAAGAAGGGAGGAAGATATTTTGCAACACAGGAAGGAGGAGGCCAGGCCTGGGGAAGTTGGGGGTGGGTGTTAATACCCTCTTACTTCTCATGATCCACTTATATCCCAGCCCCAGTAAACCTTCCACACTGTTCCAGGGTGGGAGTCAGGTCACCAGGAGACACAGGTATGCACTGAAGACCAAGCCTGTCTGTGTGGAATAGCACCTTGCACCTGCATGGGCTCTCTGCCTCCTCTGGTGCCCTGTTGTCTCCTCACTTCCTTCCTGCTGCAAAACATGAAATGTTGTGCAATTAGGGTTTATAATGGGATCTACCCTTCCCCGCCCCCTAACCCTGACGAAAATATTTCCAGCTTTTCACGATGACAAAGCTCCCTCTTATGAATGCCATAAATATGGTTCACCCATGGACACGACATCCTGTCCTTTTTCACCTGTGAGACCTCAGGACACATTCCCAAAGTTCTTCAGTTCTCATCTGCCCAAACTCTAAAGGCCTCTGTGTTGCGGAAGTGGCAGATGGAGAGGCATGGCTGGCCGAGGGTGAGACCTGCTTTCCAGAGCAACCGGGAACCTGAGCACACCACTCTCTTTTTCTCAGGTTCTTTCCCCAACCTTGGAACGAGAATCTCAAAAGCTATTTACAAGGCCTCTCACTGACAGGGTGTGTTTTATGCCTTTTGTCCTTCCATTGTGTTCTCTTCACCTCAGGTCTCCACTTTATTGGGGTTATAGAACCCAACCTCTCTCTGTGAGGGACCTGCAGTCCACGCTTTCTCTGCAGGCAGGGCGGCCAGCACCCCTGCGGATGCAGGCACCGCCCCTCTCCTCAGCTTTCTCGGTCCCCCGCCCCACCCAGCTAATGGGGCGGCCATTTTGCAATGAAAGACGCTGAGTAAACACAGCGTCAGCCCTGGGAGATTGGCTCGGACTTAATAGAGGATGTGTGCAGGCTTTCAGGGCTCCTCGGCCCACAGGCTTTAACCACTGTTCAAACTGATTTGGAACACTAAAGCCTGACTGTTTGCTTAAGGCCTGTGTTGACTCAATTCCCGCCTCCAAGGCAGGTGGCCTCCCAGCCACTCAGTCATTGTTCTGACTCAGTTCTCCTCAGTAACGGGGGTGGCCTCCCTATTGAGAGTTCCTTTCTTTATTTCTCTTTCTGGCCCTTGAAAAGCCAGGCAATCAGTTCATGCTTGCAGGTGTAGTGTTTCATTTTAAAAGAGGCATATTTGACTGCAGTCAGAATTTTCAGTGTTGAATTGGGTTTGTTGGGTAAGAAGGACTTTTCGGCTTTCCTCTTGGAAAGCAAAGAGCTGATTTCCTGGTGACAACAGTTGTCATTGTTCTGGTACATTAACTCTTCCCAACCCTGGGGCCTCTTGCTAACGGCTTCCCAAGTGCCCTAATATCTAATCAAGTTGAACCAAAGAGCTTCTACAAACCTCCAGTACTGCCTTGTCTCCACTGTGAGAGCTGTGAATCTGACCCAAAGTGGCAACCTGGAAGAAAGAAATGATTACTCTTTCAGTGGAACAATAATATCATCTATTGAACATATACTTTGTACAGAGTGCTATGTATAGGGTTTTTTTTTGTTTTTTTTTTTTTTTTTAATGCATTGATCCTTTTGATATTCCCCAGAAGTTTTTGTCCTTGGTATCATAGCACATTCCTTTATCATATGGGGAAGCCAAGGATGGATCCCATTAAGGAGCTCACCCACAGCTCTTAGTGTCTGGAGGCAGAGCAGGAATTTCAGCCCCAGTCTGACTCCAAGGCTGCTCCCTCTCTCCGCCTGACCACTTCCCTCTTCACCTCCCTCAGACTAGAAAAGAAGGAAATCCCACGACCCCAGGGAGGGGCGGCACTCATGGGAGTGGTCCAGGAAGCCGGGTGGGTGGTGGCCCCAGTGGGTTTGCTCTGCTGCCTCCCGTCAGAGTCCTCTTGGCACAGAGCTGACCTCCTCCCTCTCTGTGGCCAGCGCTGTCCTTAGACAGCTTCCTTAAGCTTTCTCGTCAGAGGGCAGAGCTCAGGTGTCACTTGATCTGGCTGCCAGTAAAGGAAGTTGGGAGCAGCACACAAACTCACACATTCACTTGTGTGCATGCGTTCAGTAAGACACACATAAGTGCACTCACATCCCCACATACATTTATGTGCACACACATCCACATTCATTCAGACACACATCCACAAACATTTACTCTCAATACTTTCACTCATACACTCATTCACACTCTCACCTACCCATACACACATGCAAATGCATACCTTCACATCCATCACCCACACGTGCTCACACATGCATTCATGGGGTCACAACACCTCCACTTAGGTAACTTCATACCACATGCTCACATGCACTCACACACGCATGCATATGCCTCACACACACTCACACAGTGCACACTCACACACACGTACTCCTCTCACTTCCTGTGGAGGAGCTGAGAACACTTTGTGGTGGGAGGTCAGAAGGCCAACACCCAAGACAATAAACCCTGGGGGTGGTGAGAAGTATGCAGTGGGATTTGATGACTCCAAAGCAACTTGAAATAATTGGAGGGCTTACAGCAGTGACACCGGATCTGTCCTAAGGAACTGTAGGCTCTAGCCTATCTTTGATTGCCTTCAGTGTTCATGAGTCAGATTTTTGGCATCAGGCCCTTTGTTCAGATCATCTACTTTGTAGCCTCACACACAAGCTCTGTGAACTTGGGTAAGTAACTTAGCTTCTGTTTGCCTCCATTTCCTCATCTGTAAAATGAGAATAATAATAGTGCCTGTCTTAGGGAGTTATGCATTACCTGGACTAAAATATATGAAGCTCATAAACCAGTTAGGGCACATATGTATTCAGGGACAGCGGGTCCTTAATGGCTTGGGTTGGCTCATCAAAAACAAGTGAGAAGGTGACCAAAGGTGGACATCAGTTTGGGATTTTGACATCAAAATGGGATCCAAGGAGAGATTTACTAAGTTTTAAGTTCTTTTTTGCCGAAATGGCTGAAATTTATAAGCCCTTACACTTGAAAACCCTTCCAGGCAGGGGACAGCTATCCTTTTTCCTTCTCAGTCTCAGAGTGTCCTTGACTCCTTAGGTCAGCAGGTGATAAATTCAGTCTCCTGGATTAGATAGGCAACATCTCAGATTGCTACAAGGCCGGGTCTGTACCTTACTGTCCCCGGTCCTCTCAGTTAAACGGATCCTCATCTTGTGAAGATTTTGCTCAACCCTATTGAAGAAGGAGCCATGCAACAAATCAGAATTTTATTTTTATGCTCAGTTTACTTGTAAACAGGTAAAGTCTAAGAATTAGCACATTTAATCTGTGGTTCCAAGACATTTCTTTAACATGATAGAAGTTGAAATCATGTTAAGTAAAAGCAGTTAGACCAATGACGCACTATTTTATTCTAGTTCTTTTCTTTGGTCACATCCAGGATCATTTTTCAAAACCTCCAAGAATTCATACTCCCAGTCATCTTACTTTTCCCTCAGGCCCCCTAGCAGTTTATTGCTTTGGCAGTAATGCAGAGGCATAATTCCTCTTACCTTCTCTGCTCTGTGATGGTCTACATCTTGGCTCTTTCTTTCCTTAAGAAAGTCCCCAAGGGGAACTAGAAGCTGTTCCCCTCCTTCCCATCCCACCTCCCACCTCTGAGTTAGGCCTACTGTTTGATCCAAAGGGCACTATTTGCCTTAGAATTCCAACTATTTTGTTATCAGAGCACTCATCTCATCAGGGGAAGGACCAGAAAAAGGCTCTTTTACAATCTCTTGAGAGCACAAGTTCCTCTCTCTCCTCCACCACAGAGATGAACAGAGATCTCCCGGGCATGTTCCTTTGTCATTTGTTTTTCAAGTTTGCACCCGTGTTTACAAAATAATTCCTACCCCTGCCTAGAGATGTGTTGGAATGATAGTTACTTTATGCTCATAACAGGCTTCCCAGGTGGCTCAGCGGAAAAGAATCTGCCTGCCAATGCAGGAGCTGCAGGAAACTTGGGTTGGATCCCTGGGTAGGGAAGATTCCCTGGAGGAAGGCATGGCAACCCACTCCAGGAGTCTTGTCTGGAGAATCCTATGGCCAGAGGAGCCTGGTGGACTACAGTCCATGGGGTTGAAAAAGAGTCGGACACGACTGAAGAGACTTAACATACACACATGCTCGTAACAGTTGCTTGGGAAGGTGAGATGGGGGTGATTTTTATTTAATATATTGACTTTCACTCTATACTGTTCTGTATCAATTGACTTAAAATTGAACACACATCATTTTTGTGAAAAAAAAAAGGCATTTTGAGAGGTTTTAAAAACATACAGAACAATTATGATAATACTATTTTTCAAATGCTTTGAAATGTGGTGTTTTTCCCCCCATGGTAGTTTCTGAACATGCTGCTCAGCTGCCCAGTTAAACAGCATCTCTTTCTAAGCTCTGTTGAAGGGGGTTTTGTGTTGCAAAAAAAGTTACTCTGAACAAGGAGCCAACCCTTTCCTTCTTTTGGACGGCACTGTTGAATTATCAACTCATAAAGCTTTTGTAAAATGAGTCTTATGGGCTTATCTTTTTTCAGACATTTTATTGGCCACATGTCTTTAAAGACAACCAAAATGGTCAATTGGGAAAAGAGTGTTCAGAGGTTGTAGTGTGTGGACTCTTTCCAGTGTGTGGGCATCTCTGATAAGAAAGGGAAGTGAAGTGAAGTGAAACTCGCTCAGTTGGTCCAACTCTTTTCGACCACATGGATTGTATGGTCCATGGAATTCTCCAGGAGTGGGTAGCCTTTCCTTTCTCCAGGGGGTCTTCCCAACCCAGGGATCAAACCCAGGTCTCCATCATTGCAGGCAGATTCTTTATCAGCTAAGCCCTAAGGGAAGCCCGATAAGAAAGGGGAGTTGTTTGGGAAATAAATGTCCATCTGCCTTAGTGAACATCATCATATATATTTTGTATACCCATCCTTGGAGTTGATTTTAACTTTACACTGAAATCTAGTTTCTTTCATTTAAACTCATGAATCTGAAATTCATTGACTTTTTCATGTAAGTGTAGATCATTCACTTTCTGTGGTACATAGGATTCTTTAGTGTGAACATACAATTATTTACTCATCTGTTCCATTGTGGGTGGTCATTTGGGTAGTTGCCTGTGTTGAGCTATTACAATCCATGAGAGTATCACGATTCTAGTACATGTCTTTTGATAAACATATGTTTGCTTTTCAGTTTTGTTTGTGTATAGGAAATAGGATATGGAAATATTCAGCTTTACAAGGTACTATTAAGCAGTTTTCCAAAATGGTTATACCAGTTTGTATTCCCAACAAGAAGTATGAGAATTTAAACAGGTTTTTTTTTTTTTTTTCAAGATTTGTGATGGATGATGACCCTGGAGATAAATATTTGCTTGAACAAACAGATGCTAATGCACATAAGTCTTTCCAAGAAGTCCAAGGTGCCATTCATTTTTCACATCAGTTTTCAGAGCAAAACATCCCTGAGCAATAGATATGTGTTATGCCATTTTCTCCTGAAGCTAAGAAAATATACAGAAACAACTGAAATGCTTTTTCTAAGCCCTGCTAAGCTCCATATAATCTACTCTAGCCTTAGAGCTTAGATTTTAGGTTCAAATGCCTACTCGTGAATTTGTTACAGAAATGTCACGCTCATACTAGCGTTTCTACATTATTAGTTTCAAATAACAAAACCTAATGCCATGAACCTTCATAGAATTTTCCAGGCAGTCATCCAGCAAAAAGGGGCATATTCATAAGCTCTCAGGCCTGACCTTGAAGGTCTTTTGACCATTTCATAATGCAAAAAAGAAGCCTGTCCAGATATCCTGGCTTGGCTGCTTCTCAGATTCACCTGGGCCGCTTTTCAAAATACAAAATTCCCACCCCAACTCTGGGCTTCCCAGGTGGCGCTAGTGGTAAAGAACCTGCCTGCCAATGCAGGAGACATAAGAGACACGGGTTTGATCCGTGGGTCAGGAGATCCCTTGGAGGAAGGCATGGAAACTGCTCAGTGTTCGTGCCTGGAGAATCCCATGGACAGAGGAGCCTGGCAGGCTGCAGTCCATAGGGTCGCAAAGAGTCGGACACGGCTGAGGTGACTTAGCAGGCATGCACATACCCCCTCTAGATTAATTGGATTGATTTGCTTGGTGTTGGGACTTGGAATTCTGTATATTTTAAAGTTCTTAAGTGATTCTGATTCAACTGCAGATCACTGGTCAGTCTTTGGAATCACTGTTGCGCCTAGATCAGTTTTTTAAATGACACCCATACAAATGCAAATACAACAGCAAAATCCTGAAAATAAGAAGGAAAAAATGAGTAAAAGATCAGACTTTTCCCCTACTCCAAAAATATTCTAAGTGTAATGTTTTGCCAAATGAAACAGATAAAGTATTCTGATGAAGATGGCTCTGATTCCCTGGTGATAATACATATAGTAGTAATTATGTGGTACTTGATTGTTGAATGGTATCACATTTATTATTTCACTTAAGATTTCTTTAAGGTAGAAATAGTAATCCTCAATTAAATGGGAGATCTAGTTGGCAAACCCAAGCTTCCTGCTTCCAGTTACATGTATTTCTCATTATGTCCCAGGACTCCAGGAGTCAGGAAGCTACCTGAAGGTCAACAGGAGTTAAATGTTTCAACAACTCTGAATAAGGCCCAGGAGTCTTATTGGACCCCTTCCCTCCTCTCTCCTATTCTGCTTTCCTTCATTGTGCTTTTTAATTTTTTTTTACTTATTTATTTACTTATTTGGTTGTGATGGGTCTTAGTTGCCACACATGAAGTCTTCAATCTTCCTTGTAGCATATGAGATCTACTTCCTGACCAAGGATGGAACCTGGGCCCCCAGCATTGGAAGTGCAGAGTTTTAGCTACTGGTCCACCAGGGAAGTCCCGTCCTTTATGCTTTTAATGTCTCCCACTCAACAGGTAATA